GTGTTAAAACTAAACTAAACCCAGCCCAAATCCCTCCTGATCCGTGGCATGGAATCCTGAGGAATCCACCCCATTTCTGTGGGAAAATCCCTCTTGGAAGGCCTGGAAGAGCAGGGAATCACAGAGGATCGGGAAGCTTTAAGATTTTTAGGGAATTTCACGATAATCTGGGGTTAAAAGCTAAACTAAACCCTGCCCAAATCCCTCCTGATCCATGGCACGGAATTCTCAGGAATCCACCCCATTTCTGTGAGAAAATCCCTCTTGGAAGGTTTATGAAGAGCAGGGAATCACAGAGGATTGGGAAGCTTTAAGATTTTTAGGGAATTTTGGAATGATCTGGGGTTAAAAGCTAAACTAAACCCAGCCCAAATCCCTCCTGATCCATGGCACAGAATTCTCAGGAATCCACCCCATTTCTGGGGGAAAATCCCTCTTGGAAAGCCTATGAAGAGCAGGGAATCATGGACCAGGAAGCTTTAAGATTTGCATGGAATTTTGGGAAAATCTGGGGTTAAAAACTAAACTAAACCCTGCCCAAATCCCTCCTGATCCATGGCACGGAATTCTCAGGAATCCACCCCATTTCTGTGGGAAAATCCCTCTTGGAAGGCCTGGAAGAGCAGGGAACCATGGACCAGCAAACTCTAAGATTTGCAGGGAATTTCAGGATAATCTGGTGTTGAAAACTAAACCAAACCCAGCCCAAATCCTTCCTGATCCATGGCAAGGAATCCTGAGGAATCCACCCCATTTCTGTGGGAAAATCCCTCTTGGAAGGTCTGGAAGAGCAGGGAACCATGGACCAGGAAGCTTTAAGATTTTTAGGGAATTTTGGGAAAATCTGGGGTTAAAAACTAAACTAAACCCTGCCCAAATCCCTCCTGATCTGTGGCACGGAATCCTGAGGAATCCACCCCATTTCTGTGGGAAAATCCCTCTTGGAAGGCCTGGAAGAGCAGGGAACCATGGGCCAGGAAGCTCTAAGATTTTTAGGGAATTTCAGGAAAATCTGGGGTTAAAAACTAAACCAATCCCAGCCCAAATCCCTCCTGATCCGCGTCTTAGCAACAGCCTGGGCTCAGATCTAAATTGGTGCCGGGCTCTTATCAGCACCATTAGTCCCTTATCAGTAAACAACGCTAATGAGCCTTAATGGGCTTTTTATGGAGGGATTGGGAAGTTGGATAAGAGAAATGGAGCAGTTGGTGACAGAGGCAATGTTGATGTTATTGTTGTGGTCATAATCATGCTTAAAATTAATATTATTTTTATTGTTATTGCTGCTAACACTTGGATTCGTCATCCCCGCTCCATTTCGCAACGGAATTTTTATCTAGGGAATATTCCCCACCTACTTTCCTCCAAGGCGAGCTTGGAGTTGGGATAATCTCCAGTTTTAAGGATTCCAAATTATCTTGGTTATGGGTTAAATTAGTGTTAGTTTGTTAATTGGTCTCATTTGGTAATAGTTAAGTTTTAGTGATCTGAAATTTCCAGGCTGAGGTGGGACTTTATCTCTGAGTGTCATCCCGGGATCATCCCTTTCCTTGCTTTTCCAGAGTTTTCCCGATGTTTTGGGGGTTCTTTGTCCTCTACTGCTTTTCCATCCACAGGGAGAAGTTGGCAGTCCTGGAAAACCAGGAATTCCAGGATCGAATGGACAGCGTGGACCAAAGGTGAGGATCTGAACCATCACAAAATCATGGAATGGTTTGGGAAGGGACGTTAAAGGTCATCCCTCGAGAGTTTTCCCAGTTTTCCCAAATCCACCTCTAGAAAATGCTCGTGTCCTCCAAAGGGCATGAATTGGGTTTTCCCGGATCTGTTCCCATAAATCATCATGGATTGGGTGAGGATTCTTGGATATTGGGATTGGGATCTTTACTCACCTCCTCAGCTGAGTTAATCCATCCCAGTGCTGATGCTCCACAGCCCCTTTTCCATTTTTATGGGAATTTTCCCTCTCCTGGAATACCACCAGTGCCCAGACTGAGGTGACACTCAGTAAATACCTCTAACCCAAGGAAAAACCAGTTCATTCCCAAAATCCCAGCTTTTCCAAGCCCACATGAGCCATGCTTTTATTACCTTGGCTCCTTCCAGGGCGAGCCAGGAGCCTCGGGGAACGACGGCGCCTCGGGAATTCCTGGGGAGAAAGGAGAAAAGGTTGGTGCCATTTCCGAGGAATAAATCCCACATCCATCAGGTGGAGTTAACAAAATTTCACATTTCCCACATCACTGGTGCCCTTTCCAGGGGGGAAATGTCAACTGGCTGGAACGTTAGGGTTGGGAATGCAGTTGGAAAAGGGCAGGGGAGAGAGGTCTCCTTAAATTCCCCTCTTTCCATGGATAAAATCCCAGGAGGAGCCAGTTTGGTGTGAGGAGAAGCCGGGAGTCACTGGCAGAGTTATTCCAGCACCATTCCCAAGGAAAATCCCTGGGATGCTCTGGGGTAGGAGAAGTGGATCAGGCTGTGGCCGCCCCGCCGTGGGAAATGGGAAAGGTCTCCAAGCTGATCCCAAGTTCTGTTCTCATCTCCTTGAGGAATTCCCACCTGGAGCACTCCCCACCAATCTTCCTCCTCGGCATTCCTTAATTTCCTGCTTTATTCCTTAAAAAAAACCACACCTAAGTTTGTACTCTGCCTCCTGGGGGGAAAAAATTGGGATTTCTGATAAAACAGTAAATTTTTAAGGGAAAAAAACCAAAACAAAACGAACTCTCAGCAGCCTCCATCAAATCTCTTGGCATTTTCCACCCTCAGACCCTTCCCACATTCCAGTCTCCGATGGATTTGGGATCTTAAAGGATTTTATTGTTCCCTACTCCCTGATGGTCAAACACCTCCTGAAGTCTCCGGCTGGTGGCTTGGAGACCATTCCCAGGGAATTCTCATTTCCTTCCTCTCCCGCCCTTCTCCTCTCCCACAGATTTGTTTTCCACCACTGCTGGCTCTTGGATTTTTCCTTCTGCCGGGTTTCATGGGAATATTTTCTGTTCCAGCAGCTCTGGCAGAAAGCTCAGTGGTGAAGATGACATTTATAGGTTTGGGATCTTCCTCTTTCCTCATTTTTCCCCAGGGGTTACGAATGAAAGGGTTCCGTTCAGGTGAGCTGGGAATTTTGGAAATCTTGGAAAACCCAAGTCACCTTTTCTTCTGGACTAGGAAAGGTGGAGAGCAAAGCTCCCACGCCAGAGGAATGTGGGAGGTGTTCCCGTATTCCCAACCCCGTGGAAGCGTTTGGATGAGGTTTGGCTGCCCCATCCCTAAAACCCCTGTGATTCCCAGGGAGCCAAGGGAGTTCCTGGAGTGGCAGGATTCAAGGGACAAGCGGGATGGCCTGGGAAGCCTGGAGGGGCCGGAGCAGCTGGACCTCGAGGGCCACAGGGTGAGCCAGGCCCACAGGTGAGCAGCAGGTCCTGCATCCCACAGGAATCCCTCAGGTCCTGCATCCCACAGGAATCCCTCAGGAATCCCTCAGATCCTGAATCCCACAGGTCCTGCATCCCACAGGAATCCCTCAGGTCCTGAATCCCACAGGAATCCCTCAGATCCTGCATCCCACAGGAATCCCTCAGATCCTGCATCCCACAGGTCCTGAATCCCACAGGAATCCCTCAGATCCTGCATCCCACAGGAATCCCTCAGATCCTGAATCCCACAGGTCCTGAATCCCAACAGGAATCCCACAGGAATCCCTCAGGTCCTGAATCCCACAGGAATCCCTCAGATCCTGAATCCCACAGGAATCCCTCACGTCCTGCATCCCACAGGTCCTGAATCCCACAGGAATCCCACAGGTCCTGAATCTCACAGGAATCCCTCAGATGCTGCATCCCACAGGAATCCCTCAGATCCTGCATCCCACAGGAATCCCTCAGATCCTGCATCCCACAGGAATCCCACAGGTCCTGAATCCCACAGGAATCCCTCAGATCCTGAATCCCTCAGATCCTGAATCCCACAGGAATCCCAGCAGGTCCTGCATCCCACAGGAATCCCTCAGATCCTGAATCCCACAGGAATCAAACAGGTCCTGCATCCCACAGGAATCCCAGCAGGTCCTGAATCCCTCAGATCCTGAATCCCACAGGAATCCCAGCAGGTCCTGCATCCCACAGGAATCCCAGCAGGTCCTGAATCCCTCAGATCCTGAATCCCACAGGAATCCCTCAGATCCTGCATCCCACAGGAATCCCAGCAGGTCCTGAATCCCTCAGATCCTGAAACCCTCAGATCCTGAATCCCACAGGAATCCCTCAGATCCTGAATCCCACAGGTCCTGAATCCCAGCAGGTCCTGAATCCCAACAGGAATCCCACAGGTCCTGAATCCCTCAGGTCCTGCATCCCACAGGAATCCCTCAGGTCCTGAATCCCACAGATCCCAAATCCAACAGGAATCCCAGCAAATCCTGAATCCCACAGGAATCCCAGTGGGTCCTGAATCCCACAGGAATCCCAAATCCCACAGGAACCCCCTCCTGGCCACCCCTGTCGTGTCCCCCTGTCCCCCCTCTCCAGAGCTCTCCCACATTCCCTCTTCCCGCAGGATTTTGATCCGTGGATTCCATCTCCCGCTTCCTTTCCCTGGGGACATTTTCCCTCCCCTTTCCTCCCCTCCTTTCCCGTCTCTCCAGGAGGAGATTTGACCTCTCCAGGGGGAGATAATTCCAAGTCACCAGGACACCAAGTGTTTCATTATCCCAGGATCAGGATGCCGAGGCTTGGGAAGCAGCCGGTGGCTCTCAGCTCCCGAGTTTAATGAATATTTTTGCATTCCAGCCACGCTGGGCACCTTTAGAATCATAGGGGAAAAAAAAATCCTGGGAAATGAGATGTTAATTCCATCGATGAGCTGGATCACCCTGCCCTGGAAGTTTTCTGGAGACAGCTCCGAGAAATAAATAACTTTGCAAAGTGGAAAAAGAAAAAAGGCTGGAAATGAAAATTCCCTCCGTGGTTTTGCTGGGAGAGTTTCAGGTTTGGATTAAAGAATACAAAAATTACCTGGAAGATCCAAGCACTGGAGAAAAGTTGGAATAAAATAACCTGGAAAACCAAATTTTATCCGTAAGCCCTGCTTGATTCCTGACAACAGCAGCAATAATTTGGATTTTGGAGACAGAAGTTGGGACAATTCCCAATTTTTTGGGAAAATCTGAGTGAGCCTGGATCCCATCAGATCCATTCTCCTGGATTTCCAAGGATATCCTACAGATCTTTGCAGGAATTCTGACATGGATGGGTCACTAAAAAATCTCTATTCCACCTCATTCCCGCAGAATTTTCCTCCTTTTTTCCCAAGGCGATATCCATTGACAACTTTTACACCACGTCAGCTCCATCGGGATCAAATCGTGGCGGGATTTTGGCAGATTCCACGTGAAAAATAATGTTTTGATTAATTAAGTTATTAAAAACGACAACCTCGGTATCTGGAATGGGAGATGTCGATCGGAACATGAGGCTGCTCTTCAGAAAGACAAAAAATGTGTGATCCCGTGGAATTCCCAAAAAAAAAAAAGGGATTTAAGGCAATAAGAGGGATGCAGAGCAGGAAGGATAAACAAGGAACTCGACCCATATCCAGAAATTCCCACTTTTTTTTTTTTTTCATGGCACCAGATCTCCTTAATCAACTCCTTTATCACAAAATCAACTTGAAAACAACTCCCAAATATTTCTATTTTTTTTTTTCCCCTAAAGACACTTGGATTTTCTCCCTGCTAATTTGCCTTTTGGAAGCTGAATTTTACCTGGAAAATACCTCTGGAAATCGGCATCTTCCTTAAAAATAAGAGCTTGAAGCCCCTAAATAAAGATGCTGGAAGTGTGACGGGGATCTTTAAGAGGAATTTTGAAGGGTGGTTGTAGGAGGAAGGTGGGAAAAGGTCCTTCCGGAACAATAAAATATGGATTAAATCCCGCTACAGCCCATGGAAACAAAATTATTCTTCCTCCTCTTGCTCCCCAGGCTGTGCCTTGCCATGAAAAATAAATCAAAGGAATCGCAGGAGGGAGGAAGGAGCCGAAAGTACAAGATTCCCTCATGGATATTTAAAAAGGCTGGAATTTTTGATGTTATTAGCGAGCCCAGAAAAGCCTGTCTGGGATAATAAATGGCTTTTTTTTTATTTTTTTGGACACTGATTAAAGAGAGGCCGTGAGGCGCCACTTTTCCCACCCACGGTGCTCCGTGGCTTCTCCTGGAATTAAAGAGAAACGCTGGGAATGGCTTGTGGGGTTGGGACACGGGGGGGGAAAAAATTCCAGAGCACATTCCCAGGTTGGGTTTTAGGGGGAAAAAATCCCAAAGAAATTGGGGATATCTCTGGATATCTGCCTGAACTCTCCTTCTCCTCTCCAGGGTCCACCAGGGAGAAGAGGGAGATCCCAGCTCTGCCTCCAGGGACCGCCGGGCATGGACGGGCCGAAAGGAGAAGCGGTCAGTACGGGAACGATCCGCTGGGGCTCCCAAAATTCCAAACTGGGCTTGGATGAACCTTGGATCCTCCAGGTTTCGTCTCTCAGATTTCCCAACACCAGCAGAGCCATCACAATCCCAAATTCCAGGCGTCGGACACGGGCAGCGCTGCCCAAATTCCTGCCTGGAGGCGCCTCCAGCTGGGGCGGGAGATTCCTTTGGGAAAACGTCAAATTTTGGATCAGCAGAGCAGGAATGACCCTCTAATCAGTGCGGGGTCATTAACGCACAATTAACGCTCAGCAGAGAATTCCATGAGGATTTTGGATCCCGGCCTGTTTGGGGTCAATCCCTACACCCTGCATCCCAGTGTCCCGAGGGATTTTAGGATCAGGAGTGGCACTGCTTCAGCTCCATGTGCTGCTGGGGGATAATGTGATTTTTTTCCTGGCGCTGGAAGCGAGCGTGGATTGAGAAAAATGATCCTCCCGGCTTTAATTGGGATCATCCTTCTTGTGCTTTAATGTTTTGAAGTCCCCTTAATGCACAAATCCAGTTTCCAGCAGTTGGGAGCGGAAAATTTGTCAGGGTGTTTTTATCCCTTGTGGACAAAGCTCGACATCTCCTTGTTTTTCCATCTTTCCAGCACTGGAATTGCAGCTCCAGTTTCAAATCTTTTGCTTGAGCTGATTCCCAAAGATTCTGTGCAGACCCTCTCCTTGTATCCACCTCTTCCAGCTGGAAAATAAACCCAATTTGATCCGTGGATTTCATCTCCCAGTTTTTTTCCCTCCAGAGATTTTCCCTCCCCTTTCCTCCCCTCCTTTCCCGTCTCTTCAGGGGAATATTTGACCTCTCCACGGGGAGATAATTCCAAGTGATCAGGACACCAAGTGCTTCATTATCCCAGGATCAGGATGCTGAGGCTTGGGAACGGCGGCTCCCGTTTTTAATGAATATTGTTGGGATGCAGCAGAGCTCCCAAAAAATCTGGGATGATCTGATGGACCCATGGATGAGGCCGTTCCTCTCAGCCCACTGAGCCACTCACAGAAAATCCCTAAAATTTAGAGGGAAACACGTGAGGCTTTTTACCCACCTCCCTTCCGAGCTATCATCCCTGAGGAGCGCTTATTCCCGGAGCTTTTCATGGACAATCTCCGGGGATTTGGTGATGATGGAATGTTTTCCACAGGGGGAAAATGGTCCTGCCGGGCAGAAAGGAGCCAAGGGCGATCCGGGCCTTTCCGTGAGTGCTTTCTTTAAAAATCGTTTCCCATTTTGGGGGGAAAATGGAGAAAATTGGCCAAAGAGGCCGAGGGGAGGAGGGAAACGCTGAGAAACGGATTCACTCCGAGAATATTTGGGGAATGAAGCTGTCGGGGACGGCAGAGCCGGGCTCTACAAAGCCAAGCCTAAAGGACCAGGCCGGTTTTTCCCTCCCCAATCTTTGCCACGACTCCCAGCTCCTGGCTGTCCGACAGGATCGGTGCTCCGGGGCGGATCCAAGCCAAAGGAAAAGCAGGAGAGGGAAATTCCCCTCGTCTTCAAAGCCTTTAGGGAAAAGCGGCCTTCCAAATGCTGAGGAAGAAGGAAGGGTTACACCTCATGGATCGGGACAAAATTCCTGCTGCAGCTCCCTCCGCATCCCTTCGTCCCGGATTTTGTGCCACTTTTGTGACACGAGGCATTCTTTCCATTTTCCCAGCGTGTGGATTGATTTTTCCAAGCAGGATTCATTTTAGCCAGGGGGGTTGTGGGAAAGGATCTCCTGAATTTGGGGCTGTGGAAAATTCCAGCTCCCTGCATGGGAAGATACCCCAAACTTGATGACCCCAGGAAGTCCAGTCGGACATGGATCATCCCACAGGGAAGATTCCCAACGGATCAGTGGCTGTCAGCTGTCCCAGGGATGAAGGATGGGCTCCAAATCCATGAGATCACAGCTCTCATTCCATGGGGAAAGGCTTTGGCTGGGAAAGAGGCAGAGAAAGCAGGAGGAGGCGCAGCTCCAAATGATCAAAGGTGGTTCCACAGCCCCATTCCCAAGGGGAAATCCTGGAGGATAACTTGGATGCAGGTGGCTCCAAGGCTTTTCAGAGCTCGGGGAAGTTTGGGAGATCGTGGCTTTGGGGACAACGCCACGAGCGTGGGGACACTCCTTGGAAAGCCAGCCCAGGTTTGAGGGGTGACAGGGGTTGGGTTCCCATCCTGTATGGCCAGAGGAGCTGGCTGCAGGAAAACCTGGAATTTCCAGATGGAATGAGGCACAAATCTTGACCCGAGCTCC